TTGTTTGTTTCTTGATTGTTTCCTGATTGTTTCCTGATTGTTTCCTGATTGTTTCTTGATTGTTTCTTGATTGTTTCTTGTTTGTTTCCTGTTTTTTTCCTGTTTGTTTCTTAATTGTTTCCTGTTTGTTTCTCGTTTGTTTCTTGTTTGTTTCCAGTTTGTTTCCTGATTGTTTCCTGTTTGTTTCCTGATTGTTTCCTGTTTGTTTCCCGTTTGAATGTAAAAGTTCTGATGGTTTGTGTCGGACTGTTTGTAGGAACCTGAGGGCCCGTCCGTCCCCTCCCCAGGACAGAACGCAGCCAGGCAGCAGAAGAACCCTGGAACCCCTGCAGAACCTTTCTGTATTCAGGAACCCAAGACTCCGCCCCCTTCTGGTGCTCTTTGTGACATGAGTCAGAACCCAGACCTGGGGTCACTGTCCTCTCAGGGACCTGGACATGTGGCCCCACCGTCCCCTTCTCCTCACCCTCCCTCCATGTCAGACTGCCACTCTTTTGTCCCCCGCCCCCCCTCGCCCCCTCGACGTCCAGACCCCCCCTCCGCAGCCCCAAGTTTCAGCTCCCATCCTGCCCCTCCGCCGCAGCAGTCCCCCCTGGTGGACGTTCGTATGATTGACTTTGCCCACTCCACCTTCAAAGGTTTCCGGGGCGACACGGCGGTGCACGACGGGCCGGACCAGGGCTACGTGTTCGGACTGGAGAGTTTGATCCAGATCCTGGAGAGTCTGCGGGACAACAACCTGCCATAGCTCAAAACCCGCACCCACACGCTTGACGCTGCGGGGGTTTGTCCCTCAGTGGGGGCGTGGCCAGGATGACATCACTTCACTGACACGCCCTGACAAATTCATTAGTCGTCACAAAGACATGCACAGCTGTCACCCTGTCCCTGCAGGCTGTCCAGCCTGCGAGACACACCTCAGACGTCAACACGGTTTTTCAGGACATCACCATAGCAACAGGAACATAGTAACCATAGAAACGGCTTGGAGACATTGGAGCCGAAACTCAAAAGGCTGCGATAAAAGAAACTTCTGTTTCTACAAAACACACACGGGTTGTGGTTCTGGTCTTGTGAGGACCGTCCCTCAAACAGAACCTTCAGAGTAAAACGCCTCGTCGCTCAGGTGACCGCGGAACCACCGGGAAATTACCGGATCAGCTCTCACAGCGCCTCGCCACATTAACGTGTCACCACGGGTCAGATCTGTTAAAATTTATAAATAATATCTGCGACTCTTAAAAGTCTCAAAAGAAGTCGAAGAAACAGATTCACGTCAAAACTCCAGGATTCACGCTGCAGGTGGACCAGAACTACGTTTTAATCGCTGCACACGCCCGAGGTGCCCGGTCTGACTTCACTGTGCAGAAGGACGAGCGTGCAGATGTTAAATGTCAACGCAGATAGGACTCATCAGTGACACAACGATGGCTCCAACTCCGTCATTTTAACAGACGTGGAGCTACAATCTGGCGTGGTAGTAGCTGAGAGTCGTACCGTACTCTGAGGGCGACGTCTCTTAACGCTGTTCTGAAGGTCTGATGTTCCGGGTCTCAAACCGGGCCATGAAAATTCAAAATGCACTCACACCGAGCTGAACGAACGCAATTATTTTTACGTATTGAAACATTTTTAATGTCAGAAACTTTCCCTCTTTTTAAAAACAGCTGTCCGCTACATTCTGCGCAGTGAAGCTCAAATACTGCAGTAAATTAAAGCTGAAGTACTTCAGGGTACCTCAAATACTGCAGTAAATTAAAGCTGAAGTACTTCAGGGTACGTTTGCACCCCTAAAACTCCCGACGGGTCCTCACAGAGATGGACAAACACCCGGGAACAGTTGTTGGTGGAGCTGCGGGACAGAACGTCCTCCATGACCTTCAGGGACCGCTCGTTCCTGCGCGCCTCTTTCTGCAGAAACCAAACCAGACGTTACCTCAGACACGTCCAGGCATCGTTAAAGCAATAGATCCTTGTTGTACACCTGGATTATTTTGTTTTAGTAGAGTCCAGAGAGGATTAAATCCATGAAGTGCATCATAGATGTAGGCTTTGTGAAGAAGTATCGATATTTTTTTTAAAATAACGTTTGTCAAATTTTGGGGAACTCTTAAAAATCTAGTCTGTGTTCTGTGACATTAAGCCCTGGGTTGTTTTGAAATCTTAAGAGACAAGTCTGTCCATGCACCCTAACGTTTATTTTGTCAACTAATCTCATAAAAAGATCAGAATGACATCAAAAGAACATAAAAAGTTATCGCCGTCATTTAAAAACGGTTTGATGTTTCACAGCTGCTGATCACAGACGGAGTGAAGTCGTAAAAGTAAAATGCTGTTCGTGGATCAAATCTCTGCGAGCAGCAGAACTTCAACCTAACGGACCTCGTGGGAACGCGTCGGCGTCTTTTTGTGAGATTTGTTCCCGTTAAACATCAACAGGAGTAAAGTCCCGACAGCTGGAACGTTTAGTGAAATGTAAATAAAAACAGAATGTTTATTTAAGTTTTTATTCTCTGTCAGACACGGAAAACAAATGTTTCATAAATTGTACTTTTTTAGAAAAAGTTCAGGTAATTCAGAATTTTTTTGGCAGCAGCGCTTCTCCAAGTTGTTCCAGGTCCATGTGTCTCACTAACAGTCCGTAAAGGTCCAGGACCCGAGGGGACCAGTTCGGTTCTGGTCAACAGTTCACTCTTTTCTGATGGATATTTTGCTGAATTCTAAAACCTGCATCTGCATTGATGGAGCTTTCCCAGATGTGTAAAGCTGCCCATGCTAGAGGAACTAATGCACCCCCATACCATCAGAGAGGCAGGGTTTTTCTTCAACTGTGCGCTGACGGGCTGGATGGTCCGTCCGCTCTTTAGGACGTGGCGTTTGTGAAACAAATTTTAGATGTTCCTGACCCCAGAGCAGCTCTTCACCTCCACTTTAAATAAACTGCGGTCCAGAGAAGACGGCAGCTGTTCTGCATCGTGCTCACATCTGGCTTCTTCTTTGCGCGATAGAGCTTTAAGCAGCATTTGTTGTTTTACACACAGAGATTAATGGGACACTTTTAAGCCATTTGTTGCCCGTTTTAACTTTAAGATGTGTTGCTGCCATCAAAATCAAAATCACCTCATTGTTTCCTAAAAAATGTACAATTTATTTCAGACATTTGTTTACTAGTTATTTTTGTGAATAAAGTACAGGTTTGTGAGATTTGCACATCGCTGCATTCTGTTTTTATTTTATTTTGGTGTTTTCTGTAATGGACTGAATCCCAATTGATAAGAACACACAATAATGGGAAATGTGGCCAAAATACCAAATTATCAAGTTCTTTTAGAACTGTTCTGTTTGTGATTTATTTATTATCCAGCCATGCCTCAAAGATATAGAACAATATATATTTATATACAGATGTATATCTAATACGATCCTGTAACGGTCAGCAGTCGCTGTAATAATGCGCGTCTTCTGATTGGTCCAGATTGGAGACTGTCGACCAATCAGATTCGTCCGTTTCGTCCAGCTGAGGCCTGGCGCCGCCCCCTGCTGGTCAGACACAGGAACTGCACCCCGGGAGCTGAAATGAAGTAGAGCAGATGTTCAGATTTTATTTTTGGTTTATCGAGGTGATAACTTATTTTTTTAATCGTACCTTTAAAATGTTTCGTCTCTCACGTGTGTCCCTCCGGTAAAAAGTGTATGAAATGTAAAGCAACTAAGAGACGTGTGTGAAATCAGTATTATTAGAGAGGACTCTGATCCGTGTTTTCAGTCTGACGGGAAACTGCTCGACGTGAGCGCGCGTGTGTGGAAACGGTAACATCACCTTTAGTCTTTGGTTTGTGTCACCTCACCTCCGTGACGCCGGTAAAGAACTGCATGCTCGTCCTCCCGCTGCTCCACAGCAGCTCCACAGATTAACGGGACTTCTTCAGCAACGTTTCCCGCATCCGACGTCATGGTTCTGAACGTTTGTTAGAACAGTGAAAGTTTTGTGAGATTAAATCTTTCCAGAACCTCTTTGCCGTTTTGTGTTGTAATTTTTCAGCCGAACCGCTGGGCAGATTTGAATGAGACTTGTATAATAATCACTGGATTAAATCTACAGCGGAGCAACTTTTGGAGCCAATCTAACAAAAATAATTTCCACTGAAGAAACTTGTCCGTGCCTTCTGTTCACATCTTGATCTTAGTTTTGTTTCTTTTTATCTCCAAGAATAAAAAAAGTTTTTTCTTTATTTCTTCCCCAGTCACAGCAGAACCAGCCAAGACCACTTTGTTGGTCTCGGTCCTGATTTTTGAACAAATAAATCATGGTCTCAAGTTAGGTGGTCTTCTTGACTACAGCACTGGTTGGAAGGTGCCTTCAGAATTCTCCAAAAACGCTTGGAATGTTCAAGAAGCTCGAATCCTTCACATTCAACACAAATGTCCGGAGTGGGCCCTGATGCTGCCACATCCAGTACTTCCATCTGGACCAGCTGTGCTCCAGATTGCTCACCTCCGAGACCTGCTGAAGGAGAAGAGGAGGAGAAACATGAGGAGAAGACCCAGAAGAGCGGCGATGTTCTGAACCACGTCCAATCTGAACGTTCTGCGTTCGTGCACGTTCCAGCAGCAAACGATCGTTTTAGTTTCCAGATTTCACTGGAGAAGCTCTCGAGGTTCATTCGGGACGTTCTGCCAGGATCTGAGGTGGATTTCCATTTTTCAGTTCTCCCTCAGAACCAGTCAGAACGTTCAGAATGCAGCTAGAACTCACGACGGTTCTGAACACGAGAACAGTCCAGAATGTGAAAGGTTTGAAAGTTCGATCATCCAGGTGGATAAATCACAACAAAGGTCACATCAGGTCGTCTGGACGTTCACCTGAAACACTTGATCAGTCTGAGACCACCAAGATCTGTCTCATCAGCAGCACCTCCTTCAAGACGTGCACTAAGGAGGACCGTCCGTCCAAATCGATCGTGTTGAGCAATCAGACTGTTCGATGTGTTTCAGCCACAGAGGAAGGAGGTGCTGCTGATGAGACGGATCCTGTCGGCCTCAGACTGACCGAGTCGATCAGACGCATCGTTTCTCACAAAACCCAGTCCAGACGACCTGATTTAACCTTTTGTTGAGTCCAGAACGAGCTTTAAATTTTAAGGGATGTTGAGTTTATCTCGTTCGGCCTCCGTCGTGACGAGACTTTTAGTGAAACGCGTGTTGGCGAAGGTGAAGGCCACCGGTCCTGTCAACGAGTTGTTCCGGGTCCAAATCCTTCATTTCTTCCAGGTGGAGAGTTCCGTTTGCTCTAAAAACACGTCAGAACTCATAATTTAGGTCATTAATTGAGACGTTTGAACTTTGGTGGTTCTGGTCGTGCGACGCGCGAGAACAAATCGTGACAGGCTGCGCTGATGGAGGTTGCCATGGCGATTAACGAGGTCTGTCCAGCTTCCTGCAGTGACCTGATTAACCGTCAACAGAGCTGTGATGTGCGCGGCTATAATCTGAATCCAGTAAAACTGCTTTAATCAGACGACGTGGAGGTGAATTATTTAAGATGAGTAGGACTAAATAAATTAAATATAAAAACATTTTACAGAAATTCAGGTTATTTAAAAAGATCAGCTCTAAGATTTAATCCAGATTTTTATTTTTAATTGGCTTATCTGTCAAATAAATCGAAAGCTAAACTTTTTGTTTTTTCAAATTTATTAAAAAAAAGCACATTAGATAAATAATAATAAAAATACAGTTTAAAAGAAAGATGCTATTTTGTACTTAATTTTGACTTTTGTTGTGTTTTGTGACGTAAAACTGATAAAACATTTGACAAACTTCAGGTTGTCTGACAGCAGCAGAACTTATAAACTTGATGCTTCATGTGTTTGTTGAACCGATGTCTTCATTTTTAAATAAAGACAAAATAATAATTTAATCTTTAATGTTTGTCTAAAACAAGCTGCAGCAGCTAAAGTCACATGAGAAGATTCAGTCACTATTTTCACAGCCTGCGTTGCAGATTATCAGAGCACACGTTTGAATATAAATATATCATTTTTATACAAAACATTTAAACTTTCATCAGAGGATCCAGGAGAGTTTGTCGCCAGATTTATTTAACCAGGACACAAAAATAATAATTCCAGCAGAAAGAGCTCCGTCGTGAAAACTAATTTCATCTGAACTGTTTGAGGTTTCCATTTGAAAGATGTTGGAGATCCAACATGATCCAACAAGACCAGTCAAACAGAAACAGACAGGGTACTTACTGGGTACTTATTGGGGTACTTTCAGGGCATGTACGGGGTACATTTGGGGTAAATACAGGGTAATTTCAGGGCATATACGGGGTACTTTCAGGGCACATATGAGGTACTTTCGGGGAACGTACGGGGTACTTTCAGGGCACATATGGGGTACTTTCGGGGAACATACGGGGTACTTTCGGGGCATGTACTGGGTACTTTCGGGGCATGTATGGGGTACTTTCGGGGCATGTACTGGGTACTTTCGGGGCACGTATGGGGTACTTTCAGGGCACGTACGGGGTACTTTCGGGGAACATACGGGTTTCTTTCGAGACACGTATGGGGTACTTTCGAGGCAGGTATGGGGTACTTTCAGGGCACGTACGGGGTACTTTCGGGGAACATACGAGTTTCTTTCGAGACACGTACGGGGTACTTTCGAGGCAGGTACGGGGTACTTTCGGGGCATGTACTGGGTACTTTCGGGGCATGTATGGGGTACTTTCGGGGCATGTATGGGGTACTTTCGGGGCACGTATGGGTTATGTACTGGGTACTTTCGGGGTATGTACTGGGTACTTTAAGGGGTACATACAAAGCAATGACAGGGTATTTATGAGAGTACCTACAGGGTATTTGGTACTTGTGGGATTACTTCCAGTGTGATTACAGGATACCTTTGGGGTAATTTAGTACCTCTGGGAGCTGTATTAGGAGGTGTCTCGTTACCCTGTCCTGTCCCCCAGTGTGTCTTTTTGTCCAGCATCACTCCTGAGTGAAAACACAGAATATGGGACGAATCAAGCAGTTTTCATTTTTTCTCTCCGAACACGACTTCGTTTTGTCGTATTTAAGGTGAACTGGACTCTGGACTCCTGCTCTCTGTGGGGCTCAGCCCGGTGGCCTCCACAGCTCGTGCTCCCGGTACAGGATGTAGTCCTTCAGCCGCTCTGGCAGCGGCACAAAGCTCATGAAGACCGGGGACCGGAGCCGGAGTCGACCGAGACACCGACGAATCCGCAGAGGTGCCGCAGGCAGCGGGCGTTTTCTGTGGACGACAGGAAGGAGAGCGGCGGGTTTGTGTTTCCTGTCTCCTGATCTGATGTTAGAGTTTCCTTCACCTTGAACTCTGCAGATATCGGCCCACTGCTCCTGCTCCGCCAGCACCGCCTTCAGCTTGGAGCACAGGGTCACGTGATCCAGGTAATCCAGCAGGACGCGGACCATGTGACCCGACAGGTGTATCAGCCAGGAGACGGTGATGACCTCACAGAACTGCAGGGACAGAAAAGCTGCACGTCTGTTTTTAAACTTTTTTTAAACTCCACTTGTCATTTTGCAGCTCATTTTACAAACGAGTGTAGAAGTTTTACAGGAACTGCAAATTAAAAGCAAGAGAACACAAATTTAACTCTGCGTTTACAACATTTTCATCATTTGCTACTGAAGACCCGACTATTGCTGCTTTAAAAAGAAACATCAATACCTCGAATTAATGAGGGCAGATTCAAAAACTGTCTCAACTATACACAATAAACCACAGACGGAGTTTAATGAAACTTTCAGCATCGGTCGCTGCGTGTGCATCTTAAACTGAACACATTTTTCAGATGATCCACTTTAAAATGGCCGCCACAGCTAACTGACCCTAAAAACACAAACATGGCTCCAACTCAGCCACATCAACAGACACTGAGCTAAAATGTGGCGTAGAAGTAGCTAAAAGTCGTCCACAACACTACGCCGCCTAAAGTCCTTTTATTTGAACTGCTGGCATCAACGCTGTTTGTCTGTTAGCAAAATATCTCATGAAACTCTTGATCAAATTGATTAAAACTTCCAGAGAAAAGATGAAAATCTACAACTTATTGTCATTTAATTTACCTTTAGCTTAAAGCGACAGATATGGAGGTAACGTTCGTGTGGTAGTAGCTGAGAGTCATCTTCAACACAGATCCAGAGCCTCGTCACGTCTCACAAAATGTGTCATAAAAGGTTTGGATTAAACTCATTTAGTTTCATAATCTACAGGTTTAAAATAACTATTGTTCAGTCTTTGTATTGTTACGCCAGAAATGTCGAATCAGACAAATGCAAATTGAGAACAGGAGCGTAAAACGTCTCCGGTAAAAGCTTCCCGTTACCAGCGTGTCTTTGATCACGGTGCAGGTCCAGCCCTCGTAGTCCTCAGGAACGTGTGAGCGGTCGCCGTAGGGACAGTCGAAGCAGCGCGCCGCGTCGTAACCATAGTTACACAGCATCCTGAGGACCACCTGAGCCGACAGAACGCACAGGTCACGCTCGGTCCACCTCAAAGTGTCGCTGTGGGAACAGTGGGATCACCTCGTCTTTGAGGGCGTACTGCAGCGCCGAGGGGAAGTGAGTCGTGTTTATCCTGCAGTAGTAGTTCACGTTGGCTCCGTACCGCAGCAACAAGTTGATCAACTCGTAGTTGCCCAGACGGAGCGCCACCTGAAAATGAACGATCCAAAGGAAACGACTGAACGGACCAGAGGAAACATGGCCGACTAAGAAAAATATCAACTTGGGACACGAGAGGAACCCTGAAAGTTCTGCTCCTGGTGCCAAAGTGTCTTCAGGTGTTTTCTGTTTCAGACTCGCAGCGGTACCTGCAGACATTTCACCGGGTCTTGGTTGGCCATGGCTCCGGCCTCCAGCAGCAGTTTCACCGACGCCGTGTCGTTATTGGACACAGCGAAGAAGAGGGCGGACTTCCTCTCGTCGTCGTAGCTGCGGCGGATCCAGGGATGGAGCATGAAGTTGGGATCATAACCCGCATCCAGCAAGGCCTGATGGGAGTGGTGAGAGGAGACAAACTGTAAATGTGTCTCAAAGATTTGATCAGATTCATGAACATTTATTTATTCAGGCAAACCCCACTGGATCACAGATCTCTTTAGCAGGAGAGGCCCTGAAGGCAGACCAACATGCAGGTTTTTGTTCTGTGGGAGGAAACCGGAGTACCCGGAGAAAACCCACGCATGCACAAGAAGAACATGCAAACTCCACCCAGAAAGACCCTAGGTCCAACCGGGTCCTGAACCCAGGACCTTCTTGCTGTGAGGCAACAGTGCGAACCACTGAGCCATCGTGCTGCAGATAAATATGATGAGAATGTTTAAGTCAAACTGGTGAAAAAAAATAAAGAACAAAATCTGAGTCATGTATCCTTCATGAGTTAGACCAGAACCTAAGAGAACACAGTCTCTGACGTCCCTCTGAGATGGATCGTCCATCTGAGACGGATCATCCCTCTGAGACAGATCTTCCATTTGAGACAGATCGTCCATCTGAGATGGATCATCCATCTGAGACAGATCGCCCCACTGAGACGGATCGTCCCTCTGAGACGGATCGTCCCTCTGAGACGGAT